CAAATTGGAAGAGATACTACTCAGACATAGCATTTTATTTTATGTTCATTTGAATAACTGAACTCAAATAGTTCTTTGTAGTGGGGGAGGTAGTTGGAATCCAAAGTAATAAGAAATTTGCATTTTTTATAATCCAGTTCATATTTTAATTTCTCTCTCATTTTAGGGATGTTTTTATCATTGTTACTCATGATGGAGTGCTGAAAGCAAAAAAAATTATCTTTAAATTGTTATGTTCAAGTGAGAATAATAACAGCTAACAGTTTTAAAATGGAAAGAAAAGAAAGAAGGGGTACTTAAAGTTGGTTTTAAAGGTACTCCTAAGTAGAAATTACATATTTCTAGTTCTTGTTGGTGATTTAGAGGCAATATTCTCCATGGCAAAAATGTCATTCATTTAGTATATTTTTCCAATCTAATTTCATTTTAGAATGTATTGAAAATATTTTCGGATGTATCTCATTCTTGCATGTAGTATAAATATAATTCCAATAGCTGACCCTCAAGTGGGTTTTCAGAGGCAACAAATCACACTCATTGCCCCACAGAACAGTTAGTAAATTGCAAAAGTATACCTTAGCTAGCTCTGGTGGCCTAGTGGCAGGAAACTGCACTGCAATCCCAGAGGTACATGGTTCAAATCCACCAGATGCTCTGCTGAAGAAGGAGGAACAATCGCCTCCTGTACCAGTCAGATCCAGTTTGATGGTACACACAATCAATCAATAAATCAATTTATTTAAAAAAAAGTGTGCTTTGGCTTGTCATTGCTGCACTTATCATTTGACAACTGGAGCTCCCCCACAAGCATGCACACTGCACACGATGTTTGGAACTCTTGTCATGTTTAGTTATAGTTCATATCCAGCTATTCTTAGAAAACATGAAATGCATGTCAAGATATGTTCAATATTATAAAAACTATGAATTTATATATTTATATAAATATATAAGTGATATTTTGTACATGAATCTTGTGATATTTTGTACATGAATTGCTAAGTTGTCCTTATTGATTATAGATCTACATTTATTTGGCAGAAGTTACATATAAAAAGGCTAAAAGTGATACACTTTATTTCTGCCAAATTTTTATCTTATACTATTTTGTAATATTAGAAATTTGCTCTTTAAAATGGTAATTGTTCTATTGAACTTTGTTTTTCCTTACCATTGCCCTTCATGTATAGTTTTAGGTCATAGGAGACATTTAAATGTATAATTTCTGTGTGTTTATCACTTTGCTTTATTTTGTAGCTCTTATAAACTATAATTTACATTTAATGAATTTGTTTTAGAGCTTACATTTTTATCTCACATTTTTTCCTTAATGATTATTTATGTTCCATACCTTGTTTACCCACTTCTTAAAATTTTTTAGCAGGCTTCATAATAGAACTGTTTAAATGTTTATTTTTAAAGATTTTAAGATTTTTTTTATTTGATCCACAATAATACAGCCACTTAAAAAAATTTATCTTAGTATCTGATCTCTGAAAAACACTGTGTTGTGCTCAGAACCTTTGAATATAGATACTTTATGTTTCAAGACCCTGCTCTTTCATTGGATGATACTATAGAATCTAGCTGAGAAAGCTAGAGCCAGTATCATTTTCTCTGAGCATTCATAAGCAAACACAGTTTGTTTTTATATCCAAGTTGCTATAAAGCACACTGGTTAGAAGATTCTGATAGGTTTAGGAAGTCAGTGAGGACAATTGAATTATGTTGCATTTCCTTGGTGGCGGCTGAAATTTGACCTCATTATTTCTTCAGCAGGCTCCTGCAGTGATGTGACTGCTAAAGGGAAGTCCTGCTGAATTAGCAGCTGTTCCTGAGGTGTCACCACAGTATTTCTTTCATACCAATAAGCCAAAAGCCCTAGGAAAGAAAATACTTGATATTCTGATCTTTTATTTGACAATGAGCTGGAATGTTTGTTGAGTTTAACTATAAAACTATAATATAATCCAAAATATATTGTCACTAGTATAAACAGAATATTTTCTGTCAAGTTAGTGAAGAAAAAAATGGCTGTCATTGAGTTAATCCCGACTCTTAACAACCTCCCTGTGCAACTGAGTGCAGCCTCCCTATTGTATTTCCAGTGTTGTAAATCTTAACGGGAGCAGATTCCTTGTAGAACAGATGGTGGGTTCAAACCATAGACCTTTTGATGAATAACTCATCACTTAATCAACTATACCGCTTTCCAAATCAGTAAAAATAACTTTAAAATCTAGAAAACAGAAGGAGATATAGTATTAAGTTTAAGGCTATCTGTACTTTTGGGTTTTTTTTATTTGGACCATTATCTTTTAGAAAGAATTTTTTTTACAAGTTTATGGCTCTGGACTTTTTAAAAAATAATTTTAATGAACATTTACAGAGAATTTGGATTTCCATTCATTCATTGCTGCACTTCTCTACCCGCCCAGCCCTCTCCGCCCGTCCCCCAGTTCACTCCTCTCTTAGAATCTTGAAAAATTCTAAAAATGTATTAAGAATGACAGTGAACAGCACAGACACTAATTCATATTAAGGGATAAATGTGATTACACTCAAGGTGGAAAACACAACTGATAATATTGTAGATAATTGCTGATAAATTTTAAAAAAAAAACAAACCTGAAATAAAGAAAATGTTTGCATATCTCCAGAAGGCAAAAGGTAAAAAAAAAACCCTAAAATATTGCAAGGGAAAGCAATGTGAATTTGGCTCCTAGAAAAGAACACTTTAAGTCAGAGTTATCTCACGTTGTGTTGTTGTTGCTGTTATGTGCCATTGAGTGGCTTGCGTCTCATAGCGACCCTATGTACAAGAGCCCTAAATGCCGTTCTATCCTGTGCCAACCTCGCTGTCTCAAACACACTCATTCCCACCATGCCACTCACAGAATCGATTCATCTCATCGAAGGTCTTCCTCTCCTGCGCCGTCCCTCCACTCTCCCAAACATGATGTCCCTCTCCAAGGAACAGTCCCTCCTTGCAACATGCCCAAAGTTTGTCAGACGAAGCTTCAGAATCCTTGACTCCAAGGAGCATTCTAGCTTCACCCTCCCTAGGACAAACCTGTGTGTTCTCCTAGCAGTCCATGGTATATTCAACACTCCTCCAGCACCACAGCTCAGAAGCATCAATTCTCTTTCTGTCATCCCTAAGCACTGTCCAACTCTCGAAAGCATAGCACATAATTGCAAAGACTATAGTGGTGTGGTAAATTTAGAAGCATTGAACTCTTGAGTTTAAAAAAAGTATTCATTCACAAAAAGCACAGTAGCAAATTATAGAATTCCTCTCTGAAGTCTTTGATCATTTACTCGGAACATTACTATTGTAGCCTTAATAATCTAGGATCCTCATTGTGAATGGTAGAGAAAATAATTTAAATATGGTTGATAATGATTTGAATCTCCTTATACTGTAAAACTCTTAAGAATTATTCAGTTTTTCAGTTACTATTAATTCTACTGTTATCCTTTAAAGGAGTTTTGGAGAAACTTTCAAGAATGACATTTAAATGAAAATTTATATCTGCCCAGTCCTTGTTATCAAGATATCTAACCAGTAAAACTCATGGGAATAATGCCTCTATGCTAAGACGGGTTAGGCATGTTTATTTAATAGGATATGCCTAGCTCTTTATTCTAGATCTAAAAAGGAAGTTGTCTGCTTACATCATTCCTTATGTACAGTATTTTATGGATGCAATTTCTTAATGATAGCATATACTATGTAATGATAATACTAAGAATTGAATGTTGTTTCTATAAAGGATATTGTTAGTGTACATGTCAGTCTCAACAATAATTATTTTCATTGGGGTGGTGATATTAATACAAATTAAGTAATTGAAAAAGAATAATTGAAATGAGTCACTAATTTTTTAACATTTTCATTTGTTTAACATATTATAAAAACAATGCACTCTTACTAGGAAAGCCATATGCTCTAATAATTAGAGGTTTTCACAATATTCACATATCATTTAGCAAATGAAAATTGAAGGCTTCCACGAACGTGCTGCTCTTCTTTATAAAAAAATTTAGGAAAATGTGATGGAAATTTGCTACAAATGCTGTATGTATTTTCTCCAATTAGATCTGGATATATGTATGTGTGTGTAAGCATCCATGTTTGACCATAGATTACTGGGTGGGAAAACTTATTTGTGTTATGATCAGTTTTATGATCATAATGACAATAAATTCATTATTTCCATGTGTTAAGTGTATTATGTTGCATTTTATTAAACCTTTATTTCAGAGTTTGCATGTGGTACTCAATTTAATAATATTTTGTGATTTTTTTTCTACTATAATTTGAAATTTTATGACCAAAATAGTTTACGTAGGATGAGATCATTTCTGTGTTCTTTGATATTCGATTCCTGTACAACATTTAACTCTTGTTTTTGTGTTAGTGAGACACCTTCTATCTATATCATCCTGCTACATATTTATAAGTTGACGATATGTCATAAAAATGGTTTGGAGTTTATCTTTTCCCTTTTTTTTAATCTTAAGTATCAATAAGACTTTTTAGCTAGGTGTCAAATTTTATCTTTCAATTAATAGCCATTGGTTAAGTGGCACTTCTATGCGATTTGGGTCCTTGGGATATTGGTTATCCAAAAATAATAATTGATTGCATCAATTTATGTTAAATATTAAACATAGTAAAATTTTTTCCAATTGTGAGCATTAACATAAAAATACCATGTAATGCTGATTTTCTCTGAAGAATGACATTTTATCATGTTAAAAACTTGAACTTACTTGAACTTACTGGCACAGGATGTGTAGATAGGAAGATTTGGTTATGGATCCTTTTGGTCAGATCACTTGATCACAATGTATGTTTATAAGTGTTTATAGCCATCATACTCTTTTAACTTGTTTCATAACACTCTGCATGACTCTATGTTAAATGTGGCTTAACCAAGGGATTTTCATGAACACTAAATGAATTATCTGGTGGGCGGTGAATTCCTTTGTAGAGAATGAACCGCTCAAGTTCTTCTGAATGCAGCACTGTGGACAACCCTGTGCCAGGAGAAGGAGAAGAGGCAGAAGCTGAACCCCTAAATTCAGATGAGCCCGAGGCCTGTTTCACGGATGGTAAGCTAACCTTCAAGACCTTGGTTAGTAATCACTTATTAGTGTTATGAGTGTCGTCTTAATGCTCCCCAGGAATTGTTTATCAAGAAGCCAGACTGCTCCGTTTAGTTATGATTCTGTCATGGCTCTATGAGGAAGAGGGAGTCTTTAGAACTCTTGAAGCTTTCATTTCTCCATTTATGACATTGTACTAATAAAATTTACAATTACAGTTTGCCAGACTGTGAAACATTTCTCTAATTGGTACAAATATTACCTGAAAGTTTGGCAATTCAAGCCCAGTCACAGGCCCCTCAGGATACAAGCCTCACAATCAGCTTCTAAGAAAACCCAATGGAGTAACCCTACTCTCTGCACACATGTTGTTACCATGAGTCAGAAATGACTCAATGATAACTGGCAATAACAATATATACTGTAATGCAATATTGTTTCAAGATCCATGGATACAAATTTATGGGGAAAATAGAATTATTGCCTTTCACATAAAAAAAAATTAAAGTTATTTACTAACAGTATGATTTCTTTTTCTTCCACTTAATGACTAATTATCTGCACATCCATTAAATAACGATGCTTCCCACCTTTGGGGCTCTGGTTGTCTTTTCTTACTCTTCAGACCCAAGAGATTCCATACACACCTATGATTTGAACAATCATTTCTGAGCTGGTGGCTCATAGCTTATATTCTTTACTGCTGTCAGTCCTGAGATCTAGATCAGCCTTGTTTACTTTCAGATCCTCATTGGCCATCTCTACCTGATGTTCTACAACATTTCAAGATTTATAAGTCTAATACGAATGTTACTGGAATGTCTCCCATCAAATTCACTGCTTCCTCCAATCTTTCTCAAATTTAGGTTATCCTCATTTATACTCTCTTTCAGGCTAAAGTATTTGAGTCAGCCTAACCCTTTTCTTTTTAGACACAAGTTAATCACACACAACACAAGTTCATCAGACAATGTGAGAACAGAGTACTATGCTCTTTAAGTAATTCTGAGACACATAAAATGTGAATATTAATGAACTGTAGGAAAAACATCTAAACTTCTTATTAGGCAAGTAATGACCCTTACATCTTGGCTCACTATATTGGTTTTCTTATATGTTACATTAGTTTTGCCTTTTTTTGTTTTAAGGAGTCTTGATGATGTAATGTTTAAGCACTCAGCTGATAATCAAAAGGCCAGTGATTCAAACCCAACAACTGCTTCTCAGGAGAAAAGACCTGCTGATCCGCTCCTGTAAATCTTACAGCCCAGGAAACCATATGGGACAGTTCTCCAGGGTGCTGCTATAAATCAAAAGTTGATTCCTTGGCACTGGTTGTATATTGTTGTGTGTGCCCTCTTGTAGGAACCCACCCATAGCTGACCCTCCAGTGGGTTTTCAGAGGCAGTTTAATGATACAAGAGTTAACCAATCCTATCAAGCAGCTTCCTGATGACAGCTACCAGTTATTTCATATTTATATCTTCTTCTCATCCACATTGTGCTGTACTGAACCTCTCACTACTGCTGGAATATGCCGATTTTCATAATAGAGTATTTCCAACATGTTGATAACTCTAACTGAAATGTAAGATTCCTTTTTAACTTGGCAAGTCTTACTCACCTTTGAGGACCCAGCCCTATTTCACTTTCTAAGTAAGGCTTTACCCTCACCCCCCAACATACTCTATTATCTGTAACCATAATTGTTTGGTGTTTTGTTTTGTTTTGCTTTCCTTTGGAAGTGAGTCAATTGATTTAAAGCACATATATAATAATTAGTAAATGTTTTAGTGTAACAAATTTATCTATTTTTGCTTTAGTAACTATGAATTTGTGAAAACCTTGAAAGTTTTCAGTAGAGTACTCTATCAATCAAAAAATTTGTAAACTTTCCAAGATTATAATAAATCCTCTGATGTACATGCCACAAAAGTGGGGTATTCTGGTAATAAATAGAATCAATCAATCCATCTTAGCTCTTATTATCTTTGGAGATTATAGTCAAAAGTTATTCAGGTCTTGACTCAAAGGTGCTATACAAATGAATAATTTTTATTCTGAGTTAGGAAAATTTGTAGCATCGGGTGAACAAATATTGTGTCACCTAATCAACTTACGTCTGCAAATCTGGAAAAGATTATTGGAATATAATACAGTGACATACTGGACAATCTTGAAGCTAGTCTAACTGTCCTACTTCTGTTAAGTGCTGTAGAATCAATTATGACCCATAGTGACCCTATGAACAGTAACTCTGGACCTTGCTGGATCCAGAGCCAACCTTACCATCTCTGACACACTTGACCCCATTACCAGAAGGGGAAAACCCCGGACAAGATGGATTGGCAAAGTCACCGTGGTAATAGAGTCAGCTGCCCTACTGCTATCTGGCTGTAAAACTTTGATGACACTTTTAAATCTTGTATCTCAAATTTCTCATATGAAAACAGGGACAATATTAATATTCATAGCATTTCTATAAAAGACATTGTATAAGATAGCGCTTACAAATTAATTTTTATTTATTTAGAGAATTACTTTGATTCTCCAAGATTTTTTTTCTACCAGTCTCCTATAAAAATATATCTTAGCTGGGGAGTCCTGATGGCCTAGTGGCCAAAAGCAACACTGCTATCCCAGAGGTTAGCTGTTTGAATCCACCAGGTGCTCTGCTGCTGAAGAAGGAGGGAAAATCTCCTCCTGTACCTGTCAGATCCTATTTGATGGCACACACACACACAAAAATAATTTAAAAATAAAATTTCTACTTAGAAAAATTAAAAAAACACATCAGCACATAATACTGGCAAGAAAGATCTGTAAACTATAATTTTCTGAATATATGAAGTTTTTGAAAGTAAAAGTCAAATCTCATATGAGAAGCAAAGGAGTAGCCCTACCCTCAAGAAAGCACAAAGAATTTCCTTCAGAAGTTCTGTGTAAAAGGTAAGTTAAGAATCTCAGCACTACGATAAGATGTTAGGTGTTGTCAATTCAGTTTTGACTCATAGCAGTTTGTCTACAACAAATGAAACACTACCTTGTCCTGCACCATCATTCCAATTTTTGTTATTTATAAGCTCATCATTGCAACATTCTGTGAGCCAATCCTATTGAGGGTTTCCTCTTTCTTTTAACATTGCCTTTACCTAATCATAGTATGTCCTTTTGCATGGACTTATGCCTTCTGAAAACATGTTTTAAAAGGAGCACAATATTTTGGTCAGGCACACCTTAGTCCTCAAAAAGGTGTCATTGCTTTTTAACATTTTAGAGAAGTCTTTTCATTTGCATCACTCTGATTGCCAGTGGTTTTGAGTATTTCTTCATATGTATATTGGACCTCTGGATGTCTGTCTCCCTTTGTGAAGAGATTTTCCATGTCTTTTGCCCAGTTTGTGACTGGGTTATCAGTCTTTCTGGTGGAAACCCTGTAGTGTTATGCAAACTTTCATTATGATACCTTTTTTTGAGATGTAATTTCCAATTTTTTTTTCCTAATCTGTAGGTTTTCTCTTTACCCTACTGGAAAAAAGTTTTTATGTACACAGACAGGGACTTGATTTTTAGAAGGTCCTCTCATCTATTTGTCCTCTCGTGGTTGTGCATTTCTTGCTATATTTGCAAGCCTATTTATGTCATAGGCTAAGATTCCTATGTCTGTCTCATTTTTGTCTCTTATCATCCTTAGAGTTTGGGGCTTTAACCCCTAAGGTTAAGGTCTCTGATCCACCATGAGATGATGGAGAACAAACAGGTTTGTCCTGGAGAGAGTGAAGCCAAGCTGCTCCCTCAATGAAATTGATCGATTCAGAAATTGGGGTAATGAGAGTAGGTGTATTAGAAACAATAAGGTTGGCCCAGAATAGAGCAGGGTTTAGGGCTCTTATACACAGGGTCACTATGAGTCACAAGCAACACAACAGCACATAACAACAACAACTACATTCCTAGGGTCAGCTGAGTGATGAGAAGAATGAAAGATGATATCAAAGACATAGTAATGGCCAGATTGGTGAGCATTCTAAGGATCTAGTTTAACAGTTACACAACATGAAATTTCAGAAATATGTGAATGGGAAAAACTAGGAAGATTCTCACTTAAACGGGTTGACATGGTGACTACAACAGTGAACTTTCATTTGCTGGAGATCAAGAGGCTGGTGCGAATAGGGCAGGGTCTCCATATGTTGTTAACAGCGTCACTTTGTGTTGGAGTCAACTAATAAGAACAACATGAATAGTCAAGGAAAAAAAGCCCAAAGACTGATCTTAGGATTCTTTAGGAAACCAAGTGAGAGACAGTAGTTAGCCTGTGGGGAAATATTGGAGATGATAGAATTGAGATAGAATTGGATATACTTTGAAGTGGGAGCTTAAAAAAATTTGATGTTCAAGATGTGATATATATATATATAAAAGAGAGAATGAAGGCTCTTAAAATCAGAGCTTTAGAGACCATAAATATATAGCTTCCATATGGAGACTTTGTGAAGTGTTGGCTTGTGAGATTGAGAAACCAGGAACTTATTACATTACAAATAAACTCCTCTTACCAATTCATAATTGGTCTATAAGAGATATTTCTTATCTAAAAAAAAAGCAGTAAAATGGTCAAAGGAAATATGAAAGACAGTTATACAAAAGTAGTTGTATTTCCACTGAAGGTAAAGGTTGAGATGGTTTTATTGTCATTACCCTAACATCCATTTGTTTTCTAATTTTTATAACTATCACTTTATTGACTTCATCTTGCTCCTCTTTAACTCCCTTTGTCGTGTCATGTCCTACCTTCCTTCCATACTAATAGATTTTTAGTCCAATGTAAAGCTTTTTTTCACCAGTATGTTGCTTATTCTATATGATTTTCTATTATAATCCTTTTGGATTATGCAATTAATAAATTCTAGAATGAAGGGTTGAGTTTAAGTGGGGAACAATGATTTTCTAAAGATAATATATTTTCTTTTAATTTGGGAGAAAGAGCCTAATCAACTTCCAAAAAATAAATATGTCCTGAGCTAAGTCATTGTCTAGAAAATAAAAAAATTCTCATTTCAACTACGTGGTAACAAACTTCTCCATTTTATCGTTATTCTTTTATAGAGAAAGAGGGACAAAAATATGAACGAATCCTTTGTTTTAAATAATTGAGGAATATTTAAGATCTAGTGAGGTAAAAGTTTGCTTGATAAGTTTTCACACCTCTTGTACTGATCATGTTAAGCATTTGTTCCAAATTTTTTAATGGCTGTTATGATTTTATTAATATATAATATGTCTTGAAAGCAGTCAGTACTCTTTATTTTGTTGTTACTCTGAGCTCACCTGCTTAACATGATGAAACCCAACATAGACTTTATGTAATGCATCATGAAGCAAATTAATGAAACCACCCAAAAGAAATAGCATTTACCCACAGGGACCCATTAAAATGTTTTAGATGCTCTATGTTATGTTTTCATTTAATTAATAGAGCTTTTATAAAAGAAGGTGTGATAACGTTGCTAACCAGCTAGGTTGGAGATCCCCTGAGATCCTCCTTTGCATGAAAACCAGACAGGCCGTGAGCATTCCTGCCTCAGAATAAGAGAGAGAAACTCTCCAAGGTGGCATAAACCCCAAGGGCAATATTTGTGAGCATTCATCTCAGATAAAAAGTTTACTAATTTTTCTAATTAGAATACATAATGCTTTTTTCTTGACTAAATTTTATTCTTCAATTTTAATACAGACCAAAATGAATCCACAATAGTAGAATTCTTAATCAAAACAAGGCATTTTTAGTATCTTTTAAAAATATGTGATGTAGCTAGGTTAAAGAGGAAGTTCAGGCGTCTGAATGGTTTGGCAAATAATAAAGCCCCAGGAATTGCTAGAATACCAATTGACATATTTTAACAAACACATGCTGTCCTAGATGTGCTCACCATGTTCTGCCAAGAAATCAAGAGGAAAACTACTTGGCTATCTGACTGGAAGATATCCATACTTATTCCCATTCCAAAGAAAGGAGACCCAACAGAATGTGGAAATTATCAAACAATATCACTAATATCCCACACTAGCAAAATTCTGCTGAAGTTTATCCAGAAAAGACTTTAATAGTACATTGACAGAGAACTACCAGAAATACAAGCTGGGTTTAAAAGAGGTCATGGCACCAAGGACATTACTGCCAATGTCAGGCGGATCTTGGCAGAAAGCAAAGAGTACCAGAAGAATACCTATCTGTGTTTTGTTGAGTATCCAAAGGCATTTGACTGTGTGGATCACAACAAAATGTGGTTAATCTTGAGGGGAGTGGGAATCCCAGAACACTTGATTGTGCTTATGTGAAACCTATACCTGGACCAGGAAGCAGTCATCAGAACAGAGCAAGGAAACACTGCATGGTTCAAAATCATGAAAGGAATGTGTCAGGGATGCATCCTGTCTCCATACCTTTTCAATCTATTCAGATCATTCTGGAGGCTAGGCTTTATAAAGAGAAATGTGGCATCAGAATTGGAGGAAGACTCAACAACCACCTATGTTATGCAGATGACACAACTTTGCTTACTGAAACTGAGAAGGATCTGAAGCACTTACTAGAGGAGGTCAAGGCCAGTAGTCTTCAATATGGATAGAATCTCAACATCAAGAAGACAAATATTCTCACCACTGGGCCAACTGGAAGCACCATGATAGATGAAAAAGAAATTGAGGTTGTTAACAATTACAGTTTGCTCGGCTCCACAATCAACAATCTTAGCAACAGAATCAGGAAACCAAAAGATTAATTTCACTGGCAAAATCTACTTTCAGGGATCTCTCCAGAGTACAGAGAAGCAATGAAGTCACTCTAGAGACTAAGATGTGCCTAATCCAGGCCATGGCCTTCTTAATTACTTGCTATGTATCAAAGAGCTTGACAGTGACTAAGGATGACAGAAGAAGAATTGATGCCTTTGAGTTGTGCTGGAGAAGAGTTTTGAACATATCGTGGACAGCCAAGAAAACATACAGATCTGTCTTGGAGAGGATGAAATCAAGTTTCTCCTTAGAAGCTAGGTTTCTGAAGCTCCATCTCACATACTTTGGGCACATCACTAGGCAGGACCAGTCTTTGGAGAAGGATATCATGCTTGGAAGAGTGAAGGGACAGTGCAGGAAAGGAAGACCCCAGATAAAACAGATTGATACAATAACTGGGACAATGGGGTTAGGTGTGTACTAGTCAGTGAGACTGGCTCAAGACAAGGCAGGCTTCAGAGCTGTTGTACATAAGGTGTCTTTGAGTCAACGGCAACTCAAAGGCACATAACAACAACACAACAACAACAGATTCTGCTTTGCATAAGGTCTTTTTTTTACACAGCTGAATACATAGAAAACATTTTAAAAATATTTACTGAACTAATTAATAAGTATAAGCATTTGAATAGAAAATCAGTTGTTTTTCATAGCCGTTTTCCATTTTGTTGTTGTTGTGTGCCATTAAATCAGAACTGACCCCTAGCTGCACCTTCAGTGGGTTTTCAGAGACGGTAAGTCACATGGGATGTGATTGTCCGTCCTTCCAGCTGGTGAATTTGAACCTTATGCCTTTGTGATTGTAGTGTGGAGACCTTTTAAATTAAAAAAAATGGGAGATTTTTTCTGTACTTTATAATGATTATATGTCTTATGAAGTTGTTTTAGGACTTCTCATTTACTTTCTTCCTATTTTTTTTCCTTCCGGTGTTAACTCAAAATGTTTTTTTATGAGGGAATAAAAATACCAGCAAACTTTAGACAAGTTCATAACAAGAAAAACAACTTTTTTTCAGTAAACAAGACCCTGAAATTCTTTTTGTGCTCAATGTTTAATTCCCTTAATAACTCATTAATTTATTCATGTGCAAAAAGCATGTATTGAGTCCTCATCACATATTCTAAAAAAGTGGGGAGAAAGTCTCCTATGCCATTTACAGCCTCTGAAAATCTGCTGAAAGGCTAATTATAAGTAGATTCTTACTAAACAACAATGAGTTTTTTGGCATCATGTATTGGACACGGCATTACGATTGTAACGATGGAAAAAACAGTTAAACATTACAAAAGAGACTGACCATAAATCCAGAAATTGCAGAGGACAAGAATACATTCTATATTGAAATAACTGGTAAATGTTAAGAGGGTTAGACTGAGAAAAGGTGACGGGCAACCCGAAGAAAGCTCATGTGGAAAGTGGTATGCAACAGAGAGAGAGTATTTGAGATAAAGATAGCTATTGATAAAGTATTTGATAAAGTATACTAAATAAAGTATTTGAGAAAAAAAAATGGCTACTGAGTCCTAACTGACTCATACCTGACTTTTCAGCTGCTTTTCAGAGGCTATAAATTGCATGAGAGGAAACTATCCATTTTTCTTTCGTGGAGCCTCTGGTGGGTTCAAAGTTAACAGCTCAACTCTTTAAGGATCATGGCAACAGAGCTCCCTGATATATATTTTATATGCATATTATAGTATATTTGGGGGTATACACACATTGAACAAACAAATCTATCTTAGAAAAAGTATAGGCAGATTGCTTCTTAGACTTGGGGTGGCAAGACTTCATTTTCACGTGCTTTGATCCTGTTACTGAGAGGAATGAGACCCTGGAGAAGGCCAACATGTTTAGCAGAGCTGAAAGTCAATAAAAAAGATCCTCAACAAGATAGATTGGTATAGTTTCTGCAACATAGCAACAATTTTAAGATGGTACAGGACCAGGGTTTGTTTTTATGTTGTGCATTTGGTCTTTTTGATTTGGAAATGACTTCATTGCATATAACTACATATCTATATCATATATATGTGTGTGTGTGTGTATCTATATATCTATATATATTTTCGTGTGTGTATGTGTATGTGTGTTGGTGGGTACATAGTAACCCATAGTACCTGTAACAGAGTATGACTGTCTCATAGCATTTTCTTGGTTATACTATTTATGCAAGTTGATTACCAGGTCTCTCTCTAATTAGGCTGGTAGGTGGGTTTGAACTGTCTACATGATTGCTCTACAGAGGTAACTCGTGGTTGCTATGATGCTGATAATGTGATAATGGTTACCCATGGTGGACAGTGTTTGGTGGAACTTCCCGATTAAAACAAGCTTGGAAGCAGGAGTGGCATACACTTCCGAAATAGCTTGCTTCCGGAAATTCTATGAACTTGGAGAAATGATGAACGTTATACAAATGTTCAGGTCCTTAATTCATAGGGTCATTACAAGCACTTAACAACAACAACATATAATGAAAACTACTGTATCTGAATCTACAAAAGTAAGTATTGGAATTTATTTGGTTGACGGAGTCTCACAGAGAAAACTTTTCATGATATGATGTATTTTAAACAGTTTATTCAGTATATAAGACTTTTTTTATCTGTCTTTACTGCCAGGCTGTGTACGCAGGTTCCCATGCTGTCAAGTTAACATAGAGTCAGGAAAAGGAAAAATCTGGTGGAATGTTAGGAAAACCTGCTACAAGATAGTTGAACACAATTGGTTTGAAAGCTTTATTGTTCTCATGATCCTGCTCAGCAGTGGGGCTCTGGTAAGTAATCTGATTCCTTAATCAACACACTGATTACATGGAAAGCAATACATTTTTTAAAAGGAATTAAAAGATAAGTTTTTACCTAAGATGTAATCAAGGAGGAAGGCCAAGATTTTTATTTCACTTAATGTGTTCACTAAGCAGTGCTACACACTTGACATTATTCTTGCTCAGAATGAAAAGAATAAGATGCGGGGACAACTCTCAAGACATTCAGAGAGCAGTGGGGAAGAGATATTATGGAAACAAATGATCTGAGAAATGAAATAAATAAGTTGCTGAACTGTAGGAAATGCTGTTTGAAGAACGCCAAGTACAAGAGAGTATGTGATGGTCAGAGACCCTGTGAGACACGGCCTAGTGTTGGCTTTGAAGCATCCTTTATGTTACTAGAAGGAAAATAAACTTACTTTTAAGATGAGCATCAGTAAAATTGGGGGTTTAGGAGGGTTTATTTGGTTCTGGGTTGTTCTTTTCTTTATGTATGTGTGTGTGTGTGTGCATTATATATGTGTGTGCTGACTGTAGAAAAATATCTGCGAGAGCTAGGAGTCAGTTCCCTCAGCGTTTTCTCATATTTTGAGAGGGTTGGTTTTGGGTTTTTTTTTCCAATGTCAGAGAAGAGCCATTTGAAGCACATAACCTATTAGAGATGCCCTTGAAAATTCTACTACACAGTAAAAAAAGAATTTTAGAAACTTTAAATTATCTTTTAAATTTATAACTTATAAATTTAAAACTTATAAATTACCTTTTAGACAGTCCCTGGATCTAGAATATAATATTACTTTATTTCCAACTTGACTCATTAGACTGTTAGTTTTTGATAGACACAAACAGAAGCCATAGGACTGTTTGTTTAGAGACAAGTAACTTTACTACTAATAATACAGAAAGTAGCATGATTTTAAGGATGTTTATGTCCATTTTCCTATTCAATGTCATCAGTCAGCCATCTCCATAGAGTCAAAACCAACTCATAATTGACCTGTCAGCAATTTTCCAGGGATTTTTTTCAGAGGTTTTAAAATGAATGGGAGAAGATTGCCACACACCTCATACAGGCATAGTACAGGTACAGATGGATACTGTACATAGAGATACTGCACACAGAGAATTAAGTCACAGCTGAAGAACACTGAATTTGCAAAATCTATCCCTTTATAGCAGGCAGTGCAGTGTGTGATTCATACTATCTTATTCCTAATTGTTCCTTCCTGGAAGCTCAACCCTGATCAATGGCCTGGGTATAGAGCAATCTGGATCTGATCTTGTGTGTAGCGAGAGCACACAGGCTTGAATAGGATTAACAGTGGACTGCTTTACATACAGATCTCTTCTGTGAAAAATGAAAACACAGTAAGGGTCACTCCATGTAAGTCCAGAAGGTTACAAGTAAACATCTAGACAGACTATATCCACATTATACAGCATATGCTCCTAATAACACATTTAGGCAGAATTACATTGTAAATAAAACTTTCAGAGAAGAAATTACAATAAAAACAAAGAACATTTTGAACCTAATTTGGTCCAAATGTCTAGGAGGATTTTTTTGAGAAGAGACAGAAAAACTAAAATTCAGATCATTACTCACAGCCCTCAAGTTGGAATCGACTCAAAGCTGATTCTTCAGTGTTACCGAGAGTGGGAGTCACACGATAGAAGACTGCCATCTTTCTCCTTCAAATATCCTCGTGATTTGATCCTCCAGAGAAGGGGTGCTCTTTAAGTTGGCAGGACAAATTCCTACCAACTAAGCAACAACTACCAGTTGTTGTTATGTGCCATCAAGTTCAAACCACCTCATAGTTGAACCTTCAGTGGGTTTTCAGAGGCAGTAAATTGCGTGGGATTGTCCACATTTTTACAACCAACAGCTGGTGGACTTGAATGGAGCGCCTTTGTGTTGGTAGTGTAATGCCTTACTTGAAATGAAAATGGTCTGTACCCAAACTAAACCCCCTGTCATCGAGTTAATTCTGATTCCCAAGGACCATATAGATGCTAGTAAATCTTCCCTTTAGGATGTTTGAGGCTTTAAATTCCTATTATGCAGGGTGCTTTATCTTTCTTTTCTGAAGTTTCTGGTGAGTCAAACTACTGAATTTTTTTATTAGCAGCTGAATTCTTTAACTGCTTTGCCAATAAGTCTCCTCTGAATGAGCCATCGGAGGAAGAAATGAGAATGAACTTACAGAAAATTGGTGTTTTTACTGAGAATTTACTAGTTTTAAAAATTTAAGCATATGAAAAAAATAAGTAATAGCTATCATTTATTGCATACCTAAGCTCTGTATATGTTATTAATTTTCAAATGGCCCTCAGTGATTTAGGTGATTTGTTCCTTTTCACAGTGAGGAAGCTGGGTGTAGAATTTTAAAAGTTGCCTAACATCCCACAGCTGACAGAACCACCGTAGCTGATATCTAAGTTAAAGTTTCTGTTATCTTTTGAGGTTTCCCCTTTTTTTCTACATTATGGCTTCTATTTATAGCCTCTAAACATCCACTGAATGGTCAGCTATGAATTGTTTTCAACTCATTCACAATAAGTTGTCATTTGCTGAAGACGGGTAAACACCAAATAGAAATTGGCCCCTGTATCTCAGTTTCACAGTCAGAATCCTGCTAACTCCTGGTACCTTAGTTCTACAACTGAGTTCCTTAATAATGCCACTGAGTCATTTTCAGCTCTTAGCAATCACAAGTGACAGAACTGCTGCAGAGGGTTTTGGTGGTGGTTTTGTTTTTGTTTTGGTGAGTTGTGGTGTTTTTTGTGGTTTGAAGCTTTGTCTGACATACTTTGGACATGTTGCAAGAAAGGACCAATCCTTGGAGAGGGACGTCATGCTTGGGATGGTTGGAAGGACACTGCAAGAGAGGAAGACCCTCAATGAGATGGATTGATTCATTGACTTGGGTGATGGGGGTAGGTATGTCAGAGATAGTGAGATTGGCACAGGATAGGGTAGAGTTTAGTGGTGTTGTACATAGGATCGCTATGAGTCACAGGCAACTTAACGGCACATAACAACAACAGTAACTCTTAGAGAAGTAAAGCAGCATGTTTTCTTCCATGTAGTTACTGGATGGTTTGAACCAAAACCTTTCCTTCAGCAGCTTAACACTTAACCTTTTGCATAACGAGGACTCTGAACCTTGATAAGTATTTTCATTCTCCATATGCCAAAAGAGAACTGGTTTTTTCAATATATCATTGTGAACAGTTGCAAGAGGTACAACCTGTTGTTGTGGAGTGATCCTTGGAAGCAAGAATGTTGAAACTTTGTCTTGCATACTTTAGAGATATTGTTAGGAGGATCCAGTGCTTGGAGAAGGGTATCTTAGTTGGAAAAGGAGAGAGAGAGTCAAAGAAAGAGAGGAAGACTCAGAACAAGACAGATTGACACGATGACTGCAGCAATGGGCTCAAGTGTGTCAGAAATGGCTAAGACGGCACAGGATTGGGCATGGCTCAGACCCATTGTTTGTATGAGTCACAGTTGACTCAATGACACATAACAGCAACAACAAATATAGTGTTGACCATAAAAAAAATACATGTGCCTTGTTTTAATTTCTTCCTTTAATATAGATTCTGACTCCTGGGACCTCAGGTAGAAGAGTGCTGACCATAGAACTGCTCCATAAGGATTTCAAAATCACCCTTTTAGAAGCAGATACCTGGAGTTGTACACCAAGGAGACTCTGTGTTGGTTCAGAATGCCACATTTTTAATCAGTAGTCGAGTGTGGTAGGACAAGCATTCATGGCAGTGATCAGGCAGTGGTACATGGCAATGGAAGTTGGGCATGGGAAGAACTAGGTCCACCCTTTACAGTAAAAACTCTAAACAACTCATGGGTGCCGAGTCAGACGTGACTCGTAGCTCATCCTCCAGCAGGTTTTCAGAGGCTGTAACTTCCATGGTGGGGGCTGGGGAGGGAACTGACAATCTTTCTCCCATAGAGCAGCTGGTAGATTTAAACTGTCTGCTTTTGGGTTGACAGCACTCTCTTTACCCACAAGGCCACCATAGCTCTCTGGTAAATGATCATGTTCCAAATGCTCAAACAGAAGCATTGTTGTTACACATGGTCTTTTGTGCATAACTTACTCTCAGTCGTATTCAAGTTGACGACACTTAACCACTGCTAGGTGAAATCAGTGTTGTTATATCTGGACGAACACTCTTCCACTTTGTACATCACTCTTTGTCAATGTGCAGTAAGAAGTAACCTGGGTTGCTGTGATGCTGAACCTTGTACCATTGGGGTATCAAATACCAGAATGGTTTCCCAATGTGGACAGTGTTTGGTGGTGCTCCCAGTTGTAAAACAGGTTTGGAAGCAGGAGTGGCATCTACTTCCTAAACCACATTCCTCTGGAAACTCTAGAATTTGGAGAAATTATGATAGTTATGGAAAGGCATTAGGTCTTTTGTTCATAGAGTCGCTATGAGTCGTGCTCGACTTGATGGCAATCAACAACAACAACAACAGTCAAGTATGTACTATTTGTGCCACTGAGGAACTTCTGCAGCAAAATGAATAGTGTTTAAACATGAAAAAGAAACACCTAACACTGTAGCCATGTGCAAGTCAACATTTACTTTTCAGTACTTCCAAAAAGTTTCCCCCCCCCAAAAAATTTTAAAAATGAGTTACTGTCCATTTCATTTCATAATGACCTTCTAGGATAGAGAAGAACTTCCTCCACCATAGGGGTTTCCAAGGGTGTAATCTTCACAGAGGTATCCCTACTGGGATAGTGGTTAAAGTGACTTAATAGCATTGAGAACTCTATAGGGAGTTCTAGTCTGCCCTTTGGGGTCACTCTAAGTTGGATAATATGTCATCAACTCAACATTAGGGGCTTCACATTTTAGGTTTTATGTTTTACAGAAACAGATTGTCATATCATTCTTTCATGGAGCAGAACTTCCAAGTCTCAAGGCCTTTAAGCCCATATATAGCTATAATCACAGTATCTTTGTCGGGTTTTTTGTTAAAAGTTCCGAGAGTGTAAGAGGTGCCACAGTCATAAAGTATATTTTGTATGGTCCTTAGTCTTATTCAGCTGCTATACTTTCATTTAAAATGCATTTCCTGGCTGGCTGCAACCTCTTAACACTGATCAAAAAACTCCAACTCATTGCCAGTGAGCTGAAACTGACTCAGAGGTGGCCCACCATTGGATTTTTATGGCTGTAAATTCTACTGGATGAGATTATCCATCTTTCTCCCAAGGCACTTGGGATACACTAGCATATCAGCAAAGGAGAAACTTCTAGGTCATAGAAAATTGTTGAATGGGAAAGGGTATATGAAAAATTCTGACATTGGAATCACATTTCAAGAAATATTAGGACCAAGACAAATGAAAGAAGGAAGGAAAATAAGGTGAAAGTAGGAATCCATATATGTTCCATAGGTCATGATTCTTTTGAACGATGACAATTCATTTCACTATTTTCACATTATTTCTCTTGCTCTTCAATGACCTGCAGCATACTCTACAATGGAATAACACGTAGTCACTGTAAGCTAGAGGAAAGTCATATACTCTACAAAAGTTTTATATTTCATTGTTTTCATGACCATGATTCCCTTTCTCTTTTGATAACACATTTTTATTTCTAAGGTTTATTTGAATTGAAAGTTTTCTATTATTTCTACAGGCTTTTGAAGATATATATATTGAAAAAAAGAAGACCATTAAGATTATTCTGGAATATGCTGACAAGATATTCACTTACGTCTTCATTCTGGAAATGCTTCTAAAATGGGTTGCATATGGTTACAAAACTTATTTCACCAATGCCTGGTGTTGGCTGGATTTCTTAATTGTTGATGTAAGTGTTTTGGGGGGTAAAATTTTAAAGATGATTTATTCTAAATAATAACTCTTATGGGAAGAGTTTCACCAATGTTATATTCTCACATTTTATTTTTTATTAGCTTTATGAATTTTCAAACTACAGATTTTAGTTTCCAGAAATAAAAAAGTCCAACCTGTGTATATGTGTGTGTCCGTATATCCATGCAAATACATAGACACAAACACACACACACACACACATATATACACACACACATACATATATTTATATACATGCACACATTTACATATATCTATCTATACATACATACACACACATGGAGAGTACAGCAGGAATTCTGCTCTTTTGTCATTTAAGTAGCTGTAATTTATTTATGCATATATTTCTGCATTCAGAGATGTTCTTTTCCAGTGTGTTATTTGAATATCACTTGCGTTGGGCATGAAAACAGGAGAATGAGAATGGAAAGAAGAGACACAGATTAAGTAGTTAAATATTGGTTTCTGACAGTATAAAATGAGACACTAAATATAATCATCAAGGGAAGGGCAAATATGGTAACAAAGCAGTCCAGGGAAGTTTCTGCTTCTCATTTTTGGTCAATTCCGACCCCATCTACCAGTTTAGATATTTTTCTCATCCCAGTTCACACAGGACTGGATCAAGAGATAATGACTCTTTCTATTTTTAGATCTGATAATTTATTGAAATGATTCACAAAAGGCAGGGAAAGTCTAGCAAAGAAAAGGATATGAACACAGAAACAGAGTTCAGAGAGGGGTCTTTGTGCAGAGCTTCCATGTCCTCAGGGGACGTGTTTACTCTTCCAAAAGCAGAAGTTCGCTCTGTCCACCCTGGGAGCTCTAGTGAGCCCCTGTGTTCACATTAACGTTTATGTTCTTTATTCTTTTACTTATTCACCCAGATTTTTTAGGATACTACTCTCTGTCGTTGGTGAAGAAGCATCCTATACTACCACGGCAACAGTTTCCAGAGTCTTATTTTGCTTCAACTTGTTAATTTTTATAGTGACAAATTCTTTAACAGCTAACCAAGAATTTGTAGCATGAAGTTATTAAAAAAGATAAAAATTAGTACAGCACCACTCTCAGAATTAAAAGTTAGTAAACATGAACAAAAAATTGCAAAATCTGATTGCAAAATTAAATCAAAATCAATCTTATTTACTCCAAAGTTCAGTTCCTTTTGTACAAAGCTCAGTAAACTTTTTAATATCTCAGTAGGTATATGAAAAGCAGTAACATTTTGTTCTTAATTAGGTAATGTAGAAAGTACTTTCCAAAGTTACAGTTGTATTCATTGTACCTCATATGGCCTCTTGGATTTTCTCTATGACATTAGCTATTTTATTTTATTTATAATTTGATTGAGATGTTGTAAGTCAAGTAACCTAGTAATTGCCTAAAAGAAAAAAGGGCCAGATAATTGCTTTAGTAATACAATAGTTTTAAATAAAATTTAACTGAAAATAAGAATTACTAGAAAGAAGGTGGGTGTCTCTTTGATATTAACATTTTCACCTGGTTTAATCTTTTAAAAGGAATTAATATTTCAGAAACTCAAAATCTTATATTTTCAAGCATGCTTGAGTTGATCATTCATTTAAGAAATGAAGTTTGCAAATAAACTTGGTTTTAAATTAAGAGAGCAGTGTGGCAATTTAATAATGGAAATTTATTTTGCCTTGCACTTTTAGATGGAAACTAGTGATTTTCAGTGAACGCAACACTGTAGAAGTATATGTCAGAATTCAGGAAAGTATATAACTAGAAATATTCAAAATCAATAAAAGAATGCTCACCATCATAAGGTCAAGTATGCATTTGAATAAACGTTTTACAGGGACTTAGATTTCAGTTAGTGTGTGCCGCACTTCCTGGCTGAACTTCAGCATATGTTTTTATGTCCTTTGCTTTATTTCAGTTGATATTTTGATAGTCATTCTAGTTAATTATATTTTGTTTTAGCAAGCAAATATATATAACTTTTTGGTTTAAAAAATATGAAAAGTCTATATGTGATTTCTATTAAGATAAAAGAAATAATCTGCTTCCTTTCTATTACATGTTTGGGGTAACCTTCTATGAAATATGTTAAATTACAAAAGCATCTGTCTTTTTGTAAGGCAGTGACTACATAACTTGATATATAAAATTCTGTTGTTTTTGTTCATTTGCTCTCAGTGAAAATTAAAAATGGGTTGCCTTTTTTAGGCTGGGTAATTTCTTTGGAAAAGTTAATGATATTTCCTTTCTTACAGGTTTCTTTGGTTACTTTAGTTGCGAGTACTCTTGGCTACTCAGATCTTGGCCCTATCAAATCCCTGCGGACACTTAGAGCCTTAAGACCTCTAAGAGCCTTGTCCAGGTTTGAAGGAATGAGGGTAAGAGAAAACACTGAAACTTCCAAACATACTATAATCTTTAATGAAATGTTAAAGATGAAAAAAATGAGGATGTAGAAATTATGGACTGTTTATATTTCAATACACATGCATCTATCTATGTGTTAAGTATGGGCTGTACGTGGAAGTGTGATATATGCATGTAGGGAAGCTCTCATGGAGTGATCTGTAGTGAATTGTACTCCTAATCCAATGGCTTTGAATTGCTAGTCATTTGAATCCACCAGTGGGTCCACAGGAAAAAGATTAATAATCTCCTCCGGTTATGATTTACAGTTTTAAAAACATCTGATAGAGGGCCAGAATTGAGTCAAAACTGACTCAGCAGCATTCAGTCTTTAATGGCTTGCTGGCAAAAAGCTGTACTGCAATCTCGAAGGCACAAGGTTCGAAGCCATCTGCTGCTCCGAGGGAGAAGGATGGACGATCTCCTCCCGTGTAATCAACTGCATTTGAAACCCCACCGGAGGGTCAGCTATGGGTCTCTTCACAACAATATAAGCATAGGCACTCATAAACACATTATTTCAGTGCATATTGTTTAACAAAGAAATAAATAAGTTATAGTACTGTTTCCTTTATCTAGCATTGTAAACCAGTAGGATTATTTTTTTAAAATGAATTTTCCCCCCTTTTAAATAGAAATCTTCCCCATCTAGGAAAGTTCAAATGTTGAGAACCCTATAGATTGTGACACCATCTTTTGGATACAAGTTACGAAGGAACTGCCTGTGTCAAATGATATTTGCTAAAGGCACTAGGCTGAGTAGAGAGCGTAGAAAAAAACAAACAAACCAAAAACCAAAGAAGTGAAGTTGCATCAGCCATCACCTTTCACTTTATCCTTAAAATGATGTCATCAAGTCAGCAGAATTATTGAAAATTAGAGTTAAGAATATTGAGTGTCAGAGTTGATTTCATAGTGTTTGAGAACAAGATTGAGACAGAAGAAATAAATAAGGTGAAATAAATATATAATGCTAACCCCAATTATTAATAAAGGGTTGTGTAAAGCCAGCAAAATAAACCTTTATAAAATAATTCTTTTTTATGCAATCTATCTCCTCCATTGACATTTCTCTCACTACTTTCCTATGATTTCCTATTGTCCAAATTTCTGCCAGGTCTCTTCATGTTGCTGTTGTTCCCTCTCTGGTATTCATCTCCCTCAACTTTATCCACCTAGCAGATGATGCTTACTCATGCCTTAAGTATTAATTTTAAAATAATCTCTTTTATTTACCAGCAGGCATAACTGAACATTCTTCCCCTAGTATGTTGTATGTGATATATTTATTTGGAAGCAGGAGTGGCATCCACTTCCTAAACAGCATGATGCTGAAAAACTCTATGACCTTTGAGAAATGACGATAAGTATAGAAAGGCTTCAGGCATTTTGTTCATAGGCTCAATATAAGTTGTTTGCCTTCAAGTGAGAGCCAACTCATTACTCACTCTCCAGCATGTTTACAGGAGGCTCTAAATCACTTGAGATGAGATTCCCCAACTTTCCTCCTCAGAAATACTGGTAGACTCAAAACACCAGAGAGACAATTCCAACACCATCAGAGCTCCCTATTGGTTCCTCTATATAGGGGAATTTTTTAATGCTGATAATTCTAAGATCATGACCTTCTGCTTCATTGTGTGCACATCAAATAAGAACCTGTTCATAACTGACTCTTCAGCACGTTTTTACAGGTTGTAAATTGCATAGGAGGAGACTGCACATCTTTTTCACACAGAACAGCTGATGGACTCAAAGCACCGGCCTTTAGATTGGCAATGTGACTCTTTACCCTCTACGTGACCAGAGCTTCTAGCATAATGGCTTCTTTATTTTTTTTTTTAGACTTTTTAGATTGCAGATTTTATGACTACATCTTACTTCTGTCAGGTTTTTGTTTTCTTTTTCATTTATGTAGTCTATTTATCTATTTTGTCCAGCACAGTCTTGTTTTAGCTGATCATTGCACGGTGGGTTAGCCATATATTCTCATGTGATTGCATAGTTTGATGGCAGGGCTTATTTTCACTTTGTCTTACTTGAGATGTTGTTGTTGTTGACAATTGTTGTTTGTTGTTGTGTACCATCAAGTTGGAACCGACCCAAAGCTAACCCTCCAGTGAGTTTTCGCAGTCTATAATCACATAAGAGGCAATTGCCCATCTTTCTCCCATGGGGCAGCCAGCAGATTCGAACCATGTGCATTTGGGATTGCAGTGCAGATTCTATTTATTTGGTGCCTTACAGAAACCTTTTAATAGTTTGTGTGTTTCTGTTGTGTTTGCCTATTTGAAATATTTTCTAATCCTAATTTTCCTCTTCTACCTTTTGAACCCTAGGTGGTTGTGAATGCGCTCATCGGGGCAATTCCTTCCATCATGAATGTGCTGCTTGTGTGTCTTATATTCTGGCTAATCTTTAGCATCATGGGAGTAAATCTCTTTGCTGGAAAGTTCTACGAATGTGTCAACACCACAGATGGATCAAGGTTTCCTGCAAGTCAAGTTAAAAATCGTTCTGATTGTTTGGACCTTATGAATGGTAGCCAAAATGTGCGATGGAAGAACTTGAAAGTGAACTTCGATAATGTTGGACTCGGTTACCTTTCTCTGCTTCAAGTTGTAAGTGACTCCTTTGTCAAAGGCTTGGTAATTTAATGGACACTGGATGAACATTTTTGTTCTATAAATTAATTAGCAAGAGATTAAAGTACTTCAAGACTTTAAACACAGAGTAATATTTCTTATGCAAGAGAAATATATGGATTTAGAAATATAATATGGGTTTAGTAGCATAGATTCTGAAGTGTGACGTGCATTATGGAATGAAGGGGGAGGAAAAGGGAAATGAATCTATATAAATGAGTGGATTAAAAACCAATTTCTTTGTAAACTATCATTCAAAACACAATAAAAAGAAAAATTATGAATTATGTTATATGCTATATATTATTATATATGTGGACATATATAATATGTGGACTCTCTAAAGAGAGTCTCTATCTTAAATTTTAACATTCCTTCAAATCTTGCAGTAAAAATCACTAAATTCAAGTTAAGGAAACTGTGTGTATGTGTTTCATATATACACATGGCTCTGGTGGCCTAATGGCAAGAAGCTGTGCTGCAATCCCAAAGGCACATGGTTCTGGGACAAGAGCTGCTCTGCGGGAGAAAGATGGTCAATCTCTTTTTATGCAGTTAACTACCTCTGAAAACCACCACAGTGTCAGCTATGGTTCAGTTCCAACTCTGTGATACACAACAACAAACAACAACAAATATTCCTAGTTTCAAATTAAAAAAGAACATCTATTTCCATGTTCTGCTGGTAAATTTTCAACTGTGAGGTTTATTCCAACTCATAGTGACCCCATGTATGGCAGATTTCAAAGCTGTGGTCTTTTGGAAGCAGAATTCCAGATCTGTCTTCCAAGAAGCTTCTGATGGGTTCAAACTGCCAGTTTGGGGATAGTAGCCCAGTGATTACTTACTTACCGATTTATGTCACTCAGAGGTTCCTATTTACTTAAGCAAAAGTCCATTTTTTAATATCTGGTTTATTTCTAAGGGAGCTCCAACCAGTAAGTAAGTAAGGAGAAGCATTGTCCACTCAAAAGTATGTGGTTTGAATCCATCGGCTGCTAATGGGCAGTCTTCTCCTGTGTCATCTGCAGCCTCTGAAAACCCTCTGGAGGGTCAGCTAACAGTCAGTTGCCACCTGACGTTACACAACAGCAGTAAGCATATATTTAGATGTGTATATGTTTACATCTGCCCAAACCCACTACAGTGAAGGTGATTGAATTCACTAGGACCTTACAGGATGGAGCAGGGCTGCTGGTAGGGTTCCCAACCCGATAGATCTTTGCAGAGGTAGAACATCTCATCATTTTTCCACTGAGCTGCTTATGGGTTCAAACTGTCAGCCTTTTGATTGGCAGTCAAGCATTTATGTAAGACATACTTAAAAGTGTTAAAAAGTGGACTTTAGTGAGTTTTTAAGATACTGTCTTCTTTATATTTAATTCACTTCTTAAAGTGTGATGAAGATGAGTTATCACTATTAACAATAAACATATTTTCCAATAAATTATATTTTTAAATCCACAAAATGAAAAAAGCATAGATTCTGTTGCAAGTGAGCGTTATTAATCTATAACTGATCTCTTTGGCGTCACTTGGATCACCACCACTACACCATCTGAACTTTGTTTTAAAATTCTTAGTTTTTTTTACTGCCAATTTTATGCTAAATGAGAAAGGGAGGGACTTCCCACTAGCATAGAGTACCCTTAAGAAATGGAGAAAAACTATGTTCTTTATTAACCATAAACATTCCCTCCATCTATAGAAATAAAATAAGTTTAAGTGCAAAATTCACAAACAATTATAACAATTTGAAAATTATTAGTTATTAGCACTCAGGTTTAGAATGTGACTAGTAAATGCCTTCTTAACCAAAGCATTTTCATTATAACCTGATATTTTCTACTACAGTAAAGCTTATTAATTTAATGTTAATTAGTAAATACTGTAAAGCAAAATGTGTTAGACAAAGTTAGTGGCTATTTATCGTATGAGCTCACGTTCAGATTTTATAAATATTATGTTTACAGGCAACATTTAAAGGATGGATGGATATCATGTATGCGGCTGTTGATTCTGTTAATGTAAGTCTTGATCAGTGTAATCCTAAAACCTATCATTGTAAAGCTCCTGGGTTTAGTTCAGCAGTTTTCAATCTGTGAATCCTTTGACAATTTGATGTGTATATGAAAAACAAAGAACTTTCACCTGATGGTATCGTAGTGGTTAAGAGTGAAGCTTTTGAAAGCAGACAGATCCTGACTTGAATTCTGGCTCTGCTACAACTTTGTAACTGACCTTTGGCAATTGATTAGTTTGTTGAGCTTCCATGTCTATCCTATAAAGTTATCGTGAGGCTTCAGAAAAAAACAACAACACTAAAGTAGAGAATAAATGCTCAGTAAATACTAGTTCATTTAAGAAAAGTAACTGTTTTTTCACAGTATATTGGCATTTTTAAAAATTATGTTTTGGAATTTCTTCAAAAAGTTTATGTAAAATAATTTCCGTGCAAAACATTTGAAGATTACAGACCAGTCAATGCTATCTAGTGAAGTACTTTCTATAACCAAATGAAAGAACAATTTTATTTAAACAAACATGGCAATATGATACAATATCTTTTAGAGTCTCATCGGGGAATTTCATATGTTGTTGTTGTTGTTGTTGTTGTTATGTGCTGTCGAGTCATTTCCGACTCATAGTGACCCCATGCACAACAGCCCTAAACCCTGCTCTATCCTGCGCCAACCACACAACCTCTGACACACCCATCCCAATTACCCCAGTCACCGAATCAATCCATCTCATAGAGGGTCTTCCCCTCCTGC